GAATTTGTCGATTGATAACCACTGATCAAATTATATATAGGACAGTGTTATGTCCGCCATTGTCATCTGGATCGTCTTGTGAACGGAAAGTGATGTTCTGCTGTAATACTTGTCATATCTAGTCGACATTTCCTGTGTTCATTATACTTTGTTACATCTAAAAAGGCATTGGTGGGTTATCTGTTGATCTGTTGTTTAGTCCGAATGTTTTAAGAAATGCAAAATAAATTTTCATTTTTCCTTGTTCACACTTTAGCGCAGATGTATGCAAATAAAAATAAAAATCAATATTATTCTTTTTTTAACCAATCAAATAATATCAAAATATTTACCATACAATTATATTGGGTTTTAGGTAAACTAAACAGCGATGAACACAGAAATACTATATTTGATCACCCGCGGGCTATTCCGTCTTTTCGTATTGCAGAGTAGAGCAGGTATTAATTGTTGCGTCATTAGTTTGTGTGAGAAAATTACGTCGTTTTCTCAAAATATTATGACGTTGTTCTCACAAACAAATGACGTAACAATCAATACATGATCACAAGAGCAGATAACTCTGTAATACGAAAAGAAGGAATTCTCCAGTGTGGTTTAAGTACGCTGGACATTACGGTATACTCATATAACGAATCCTTGCACAGTTGTAATGTAAGCTAAGTGATTAGCAAGATCATACGCGCATCCACTCGTTCGCGCATCCACTCGTTCGCGTATGCATTCGTCGCAATCTAACCTCGGAGGAAGACATGACTGCTCCTTCTTATGCGTCTACGTGAGCGTGGCCATTCAAGTACTGTCCATACCTGGTTGAAAGCAATTCTCTAGTTATACACTGTAGTAATAATTGTAAAGTAGGACTAAAATCATTTACCGTCTCTAGGAACATGTGATAAAGAGATCATACTTATGATCTTTATAGGAAAGACGTTTTTATACAAGTCGGATGTTAGATACGGAATTTATTTTAAATTAAAGGCAAAAGATATAAACCTTCACAAAAATGACAGAGAATCAATTACCAACGGACGGTAGTCGTGTCCCTCACCACATGTCATAACGTGAAACTGTTCCTCGTGAAATAATAGATAGTGTATACCCCAACAACGATCAAAGACTCAACTACTAAGTGTTTAATCATGATAACAACTACCACTGTCAGCTCATAGTTGAAAATGATATCCGGATGTGAACTGTAATAATTCTGGTTTAGACAGCAATAACTCCCTTCGGTAGGAAGCCATGGCGATGTAGTATATTTGGTCAAGACGTCTGATATACATTTCTGTTTACTTACTGGAAAATAATAAAGTCATGAAATATTCGGAACTATTAATTTATCATTATAGGGAAATACACTGTCCAATAAGTAGATATATAGGCTCCGCTGGAATGACGGGCAGCATGGAATGTACGATAACTACGACAGATTTCTCTTTCTCACCTGTCGGGGGACATTAGGGACCGACACCACTGTGCGTAAGCAATAATTACGACTCCACTCAGGTCCGGTTTTGTCTAACTAAAGCACCGTAAACATCTATTTGAGGTAAGGCAAACAAAATAGTTTCATCTACGGCCATTTGTCAAGGTCATCACTTTCCTCGATCTAGAAAACCTCCCCCAGCTCACCACTATACAAAGGACCTTCTGTCGCAAAAGGCAGGACGTGGTCAACATTGACTGACACTGGCACACGACTTTGAAATTTCTGATTGAACACTAACAATTTAAAAGATTTGAGATAAACAGTTTCTAATTATTGTTAAACGAGTATTTTAGAGGACGCTGAGATAACCATCGTTCTGACTAGTCTGCCATACTAGTTCTTTAATCAGGGAAACAGACGTGGCTACCTGTAAACTCACCTCACCTGTGATAATGAATACCACAACTTAATCACCTGTAAGGAAAGCATTCAATTCTGTAGTGTTGGCCTTAAATGGTACGCATTTTTGAAGTTTTAAGTAGTTAGCGTCTACTTTCTTTATCAGACAAACATAACCTGAGTCATATTGTGAATGTTTTGTTTATACACATTGACAAAATATAATTACACTAGCACCAGAGAAGGAAAAGGGGATCTTATCTATAATAGGTTGAATAGCATTAATATTGACAATAATACTGGATGAGTCAGTACTGAAAAAATCCTTTCTTATCGTTGAAAATGACAATTTTACCTGAAAATATGTATGTAACAGTTATGAAAATCATACTCTTCTGCTGTCTGTGAAGGTATGTGTTCAAATTAAAATAACATACATTTTCGTTAGCAACAGGCCTGAATCACATGTGTGTTTTGGTGTGTAGGTAAACGCCATTAGTCATGACTCGAATCGAAATAACACAAACTAATATTCATTTCAAACAATACCAATGTATCCAACTTAATTCCGTTTAAACAATAATGGAGCAAGTTAAACCGACTGGAATGTTACATTTTGTAATATTATGTAAGATTGTATGTAATGTTAAAGTATATAAAATTGTGTCTAATATTAAATTATGTAGGATTGTGTGTAATGTGACATAATGAAGGATTGTGTGTAATGTGACATTATGTTAGACTGTGTGTAATGTTAAATTATGGAAGATTGTGTGTAATGTGACATTATGTAAGATTATGTGTAATATTGAATTATGTAAGTTTAAAAAATAAAGGAAATAAAAAAATATTAAGTAAATATATATAAATGTAAATATTGCACGTGTTTTTTTGTTGATATTAGCATCGTGGGTACCACTGTTAATGTAAACATTGACCATGTTTCACTGTTAATGTAAACATTGACCGTGTTTCACTGTTAATGTAAACATTGAATGTGTTTCACTGTTAATGTAAACATTGAAAATATGATAATTAAAGAACTACTAGTTTAGATTACAAATTTACATTTGGTATAAGCAATACATATTTTACATTTTATTTATTAACACTTTATGTATTTATTTACATTTATTTTTTTCTCAATGTAATTCTTCTGATTTCCAGAAATGGTACATGAATATTGATATTAAAATTTCCTATTTGTCTTCATTGTCATTTTTTAAATATTGTTAGTGAGGGGGGCTGGGGTTCAGAAAACCAGTTATACTATTTTATTAAAAAATATTTGGAAACAACTACATAAATAAGAATATAAAGCTTTACAACATGTTAATTATATATCTAACCTGTGTTTAATATGCATAAATTAAACTCTTTGGTGGGATTGAATTTCCAAACTCATTAGTGGATGTCCTTGTGTGATACAATGGACTTTCTGGCCTGTATCTGTTGGGTGCGGTAATTTAATCCTATCAAATGTTTATACATGCAGCTCCATCAACAAATTATTTTTCTTTTCTCTTCATAATTTGTATATGTATACATATTATATGTCCTTTTTCGGTATCAAAATGAAAGGTTAGAATTCAAACCATTAGATTCAATTATAATACAAATTCGTATTAGTAGTTGTTTCCCCTAATTTGATTATTAATTTCATAATACCAACTTGTTTATATGTGTTTGTATGTGTTCTAATGTCTGTGTCTATGCTTGTACCACTCTCTGTTACTATGATCGGAAAGGGTTTAAATAGGCTATGCCTGCTGCCCAATCCTTTTGTCCTTTGACAATAAAATTTATTGAAATTGAAATTGCTATAAGCAAAATCATCTATCATTCTATATATTCGGCTTACTCGATTAATTGAAAGTTTAAATGATATGGTTATTGATGTAGGATAACACACATCTATGTGAGATATATCAACTAGAATTGCTCCCGAAAATTACTAATGTATGCTTATATGAGTTGCTAAATTACGACATGCATACCAGTGTTATGTAACAAAAAACAACTTAAAATCGACCTTGAACATTTCCAATGGTATCCGTGATCCGTGTAAATAATGTTTTTGGTCATTATTTTCCTTAGTTTCATGTCTTATTTTTGAGGGTTTGGAGTGGTATTCACTACGGTATTCTCTGGTTTAGTTTTTTTATATTGTAGTGATAGCCAACATATTGAATTTTTTATGATGTATAAAACACGCTAGTTATATATTTACATTGCATTCATTATTTTTTCTATCGTTTAAGGTGATAGTAATGCCTAATTACAACGTTTTATGCATCGCTATAACAGCAAGCGAGAAAGACCATTATCATAGATGACCTATGCTACTCTGTAAAGTCAAAGTAAATACAATCACCGGGTCCATTGAAAAATGAATAACAACTGATATGAATCATTTTGTTGATCGGGATGTAATCGCACAGGAAGTCTGTGGGAGGGAACCGGCCAACCAGTAGAAAGCCCATGTGATCAGGCAGGTATTCCATACCGGTTTGGGATTCAAACCGATAACTTCTAAAGTCTAGGTGGTTATCAACTGCACTACCAGACAACCATGCAAAACCTTGGAAACATTACAATGTCAGTTATATAAATTTCAACTGGTACATTTACAACCATTATTGTGAACACTAATACATATTTCCATAAGTGTATCAAACAGATATTAACACTAATTCATTTCAATCGTTATTAAATTGGTTGGGGGCGAAAATTTACTAAACTGTAAATAGTCTTTTGAAAGCTATTTCTTCCAATGTTTTCGAAACTTCGTATATATCACTGAGTAGTCCTAAATGGACAAAATGGCAAAAAAGTGCAGTAATATCGTTTATCTGTTTTGCTAACGAGTTTGTTGGTTTGTTTGTTTGTTTTTACATGTACCTCATTAATTTCGCATTTCTAGTGGGTATTTACGTCGAGGTGGCTCTGCTGGTAGACTAGGAGTGCACGAAGTTGGCAGTAACCCTGTAGCTGTAACTATTTCTAGTGAGTATTTCCGTGGAGGTGGCCCTGCTGGTAGACTAGGAGTGCACAAAGTTGGCAGTACCCCCTAGCTGTAACTAGTTCTAGGGAGTATTTACGTGGAGGTGGCCCTGCTGGTAGACTATGAGTGCACAAAGTTGGCAGTACCCCATAGCTGTAACTAGTTCTAGGGAGTATTTACGTGGAGGTGGCCCTGCTGGTAGACTAGGAGTGCACAAAGTTGGCAGTACCCCCTAGCTGTAACTAGTTCTAGGGAGTATTTACGTCGAGGTGGCCCTGCTGGTAGACTAGGAGTGCACGAAGTTGGCAGTACCGCTATAGCTGTAACTATTTCTAGTGAGCATTTACGTGGAGGTGGCTCTGCTGGTAGACTAGGAGTGCACGAAGTGGGCAGTAACCCTGTAGTTGTAACAAGTTCTAGGGAGTATTTACTCGGAGGTGACTCTGCTGGTAGACTAGGAGTGCACGAAGTTGCCAGTAACCCTGTAGCTGTAACTATTTCTAGTGAGTATTTACTCGGAGATGGCTCTGCTAGTAGACTAGGAGTGCACGAAGTTGGCAGTAACCCTGTAGCTGTAACTATTTCTAGTGAGTATTTCCGTTGAGATCGCTTTGCTGGTAGACTAGGAGTGAACGCAGTGAGCTGTAACCCTGTAGCTGTAACTATTTCTAGTGAGTATTTACGTGGAGGTGGCTCTGCTGGTAGACTAGGAGTGCACGAAGTGGGCAGTAACCCTGTAGCTGTAACAAGTTCTAGGGAGTATTTACGTGGAGGTGGCTCTGCTGGTAGACTTGGAGTGCACGAAGTTGGCGGTAACCCTATAGCTGTAACTATTTCTAGTAAGTATTTTCGTTGAGGTGGCTCTGCTGGTAGATAAGGAGTGCACGAAGTTGGCAGTACCGCTATAGCTGTAACTATTTCTAGTGAGCATTTACGTGGAGGTGGCTCTGCTGGTAGACTAGGAGTGCACGAAGCTGGCAGTAACCCTATAGCTGTAACTATTTCTAGTGAGTATTGACGTAGAGGTGGCTCTGCTAGTAGACTAGGAGTGCACGAAGTTGGCAGTAACCCTGTAGCTGTAACTATTTCTAGTGAGTATTTCCGTGGAGATGGCTTTGCTGGTAGACTAGGAGTGAACGAAGTGAGCTGTAACCCTGTAGCTGTAACAAGTTCTAGGGAGTATTTACGTGGAGGTGGCTCTGCTGGTAGACTTGGAGTGCACGAAGTTGGCAGTAACCCTATAGCTGTAACTATTTCTAGTGAGTATTTTCGTGGAGGTAGCTCTGCTGGTAGACTAGGAGTGCACGAAGTTGGCAGTAACCCTATAGCTGTAACTATTTCTAGTGAGTATTTTCGTGGAGGTAGCTCTGCTGGTAGACTAGGAGTNTGTAACTATTTCTAGTGAGTATTTACGTGGAGGTGGCTCTGCTGGTAGACTAGGAGTGCACGAAGTTGGCAGTAACCCTATAGCTGTAACTATTTCTAGTGAGCATTTACGTGGAGGTGGCTCTGCTGGTAGACTATGAGTGCACGAAGTTGGCAGTAACCCTATAGCTGTAACTTTTTCTAGTGAGTATTTACGTGGAGGTGGCTCTGCTGGTAGACTTGGAGTGCACGAAGTTGGCAGTAACCCTATAGCTGTAACTTTTTCTAGTGAGCATTTACGTGGAGGTGGCTCTCTGGTAGACTAGGAGTGCACGAAGTTGGCAGTAACCCTATAGCTGTAACTATTTCTAGTGAGTATTGACGTGGAGGTGGCTCTGCTGGTAGACTTGGAGTGCACGAAGTTGGCAGTAACCCTATAGCTGTAACTATTTCTAGTGAGTATTTACGTCGACGTGGCACTGCTGGTAGACTAGGAGTGCACGAAGTTGGCAGTAACCCTATAGCTGTAACTATTTCTAGGGAGTATTTACGTGGAGGTGGCTCTGCTGGTAGACTTGGAGTGCACCAAGTTGGCAGTAACCCTATAGCTGTAACTATTTCTAGGGAGTATTTACGTGGAGGTGGCTCTGCTGGTAGACTAGGAGTGCACGAAGTTGGCAGTAACCCTATAGCTGTAACTATTTCTAGTGAGTATTTACGTCGACGTGGCACTGCTGGTAGACTAGGAGTGCACGAAGTTGGCAGTAACCCTATAGCTGTAACTATTTCTAGTGAGTATTGACGTGGAGGTGGCTCTGCTGGTAGACTTGGAGTGCACCAAGTTGGCAGTAACCCTATAGCTGTAACTATTTCTAGGGAGTATTTACGTGGAGGTGGCTCTGCTGGTAGACTTGGAGTGCACCAAGTTGGCAGTAACCCTATAGCTGTAACTATTTCTAGGGAGTATTTACGTCGAGGTGGCTCTGCTGGTAGACTAGGAGTGCACGAAGTTGGCAGTAACCCTATAGCTGTAACTATTTCTAGTGAGTATTTACGTCGACGTGGCACTGCTGGTAGACTAGGAGTGCACGAAGTTGGCAGTAACCCTATAGCTGTAACTATTTCTAGGGAGTATTTACGTCGAGGTGGCTCTGCTGGTAGACTTGGAGTGCACGAAGTGAGCTGTAACCCTGTAGCTGTAACTAGTTCTAGTGAGTATTTACGTCGAGGTGGCTCTGCTGGTAGACTAGGAGTGCACGAAGTTGGCAGTAACCCTGTAGCTGTAACCATTGCTGGCATGGTTTACATGAAATGCTCTTTTTTAAGAATCAGAATCAATTATATGTTGAAGCCAAACGTTAAACGCTTGTGACGATATAAAGTATAGTCATCATTATCTTACTTATGTAGTTTACATATTGTTCGGCATACTTTCATTTGTAGACCGTAGTACATGTACACCTGATGAGTCATAATTTGACGAAATGTCCCTATAGTGAAATGAAACACGCTTATTTTGGGCAACTTTGTGTCTCTATCGACCAGGTTTTTAACGAGTAGTCTAGTCTAGTCTTCTAAACCTTTCTAACTCAGTAAATTGATTGAGATCTGTAGAAACATGCCCCTTGCATGAACGAAAATATAAGACTTATTTTCTATCAAAGCTGCAAATGGGTATAAGATTATAAATATTACATTTACAAATATCGTGTTACATTAGGTGACTTTAGTTCGTATTTACATAAAAACGCATCTTTTCTCATACTAAATTACTCATAACCGAAAACGTCAATCTTATGACCACGATAATCTGTTAGCAAAGGAGTCGATTGAGTATTACTATATTAGCATATAATGCTAATTTGGTCCAAGTGACTAGTTCAGGGGAGAACATCATTGCGCTTACCAGCTCCCCTCCATTGTGTAAGGTATCGTTCTGATTTCCTATGCTGATGACAGCGAGATAAACATGATTTATGTATGTATTACGACAGTTTGACCACCTCACTACTTGCTACCTGTGTACGTCATCAGCCTATCTGACAGATGGCGCGTGCATGCAGTCGGCTTTAGAGGTGAGTGTTTGCTCATTGACTTCAGTGTAATCTATTTCAACTGCATATGGCGAATGTATTGCTGCACACTTTAGGCAAACTGTCAAAGTTACTGTAAAGCATTCAATAATGCGGAAGGCGAGGAAAATGCACAAGTGCAATAATTACTTGTATTAATCCTTTTTAATGTCGATTGTTAAACCGGATTACAATGTGTCATTAAATCAACGGGAAAAGCAGCAATCTATTACTTTAATGGCAATAACTTAACATCCGTATCTGTATTCGGTTTTGAATACACACAAACAAAGACCTTTGTAACTACAATATTCTAGTTTAAAGCAAAACATGTCACCAATTAGGCTAGTAATGTTCTCATACAATTTGCTAATGAATATCTAATGCGAATATAATATCATATCTGTATCCTTATTCCGTGCAAAACGTTTGGTAAGGCAGAAATATCAGCATACAAAATACATTTGTGAATTTGCCACCATCAATATTTAATTATGCATGACGAGTTGAACAGCACGGAAACAGAGCATAAAGAGGTACATACACATACCCTGGTTGATACTAAGTGGATCATTACACGGCTGTTTGGTTAACTAGCTAAAGTGTTCAGCTAGCAACGGATCTGATATGGATATTTAGTTTATAATCTGCAAATGGATTTGTGACATAAAATTAATCATTATTCAAGAAATAATGAAACAAGACATAAATAACCATGGCCAGTAATACATATTTAGGAAAAAGACGTTAACATTTTAAGAGTGAATGTAACATGTGTGAAGTATATTCTGATTATCACCCGGTACATGTGTAGAAACACCCATTTTCAAACTTCGTACACATTTTTTTAGCGCCGCCAATTGATGTACAACGTTTACTTCTAAAAACGAACAATAACCATAACATCTCCTCAATCAACAGTAAACAACGCTTAGAGATAACTAGTGATCAGACTTAAACAACATAAGTTTGTCCCGACGGAATTTAGAAAATTACAATTTATATTAGTTATCGACAAGTTAATCATGTTACCTGATAAAGGTAACCGATAACAATTTCCAAAAATGGCTGGTACCGATCAGCGAACCAGATTGTTCAGACTCGCGTCTCGGTGTACCCGGTCAGGTAGTCTCGGGGGTAAACTGAATTTTATCTCACTACATCGCCCATCAGCGAACCAGCATATATGGACTGATGTTTCCCCAGATTACATAAATTATGTCGTAAGAAAAGTAGACCATTCTGAACAAGATAATAGAATTCATTAAGTTAAATATTATCAATGTTGTATAAATCTTTTGGTGTAAAATTCCATTGTCGTATCCTGTATCCTTCATCATTTGACGATATGCTGATAGTTTATCATGTGTGTGTTGAAACAGCATCACCATCTACTATAAACAAATCATTCTTTGTTAGTTAACATGAGTTACTTTTACAAATAAGGTATGATGGCATAAGAAAAAAAAAACAGAAAAAGTTAGGAAATATATATTTTTGAAATCGTATAAACGACACCAATCAGACTGTTTTATTAAGTAATTGTTTCGATGATATATATTCAAATTAATTTACTAGGCTTGCATAAAGTCACGTTGCCGACAACTTCAGAATCGTTTAAAAGAAAACAAAGTGTATGGTTCCATAGCGATAAATTTGACACATTTGCAATGTTTGCCTTATGTTACATGCACATTGGTGTGGTAAGTTGGAACTGTGTGGTGCGATTCCTGGTTCCACTTCCTGCAAATAAAAAATATGAATGTAAACTCAAAAAGAGCGAATCACGAGAACATGAGTAAGAAAATATGATAGAGGAAGTAAAAAAATGCTACCCAGTATGACCTGATACAGGTACAATGTTTGTTATTGTAATACAATAATGTTACCCAGTATGACGTG